GTGATGTTTTGTCCCCCAGCTCCCTGGGGCATCCCCTCTGGCTGTGGCCATCCTGTGGTGTCCTTTGTGCCTCCAACTGCTCTGAGTGCTAATCAGCTCCTGCACGAGTCCCCAGGGTGAGCGGCCGGCTCGTAAACGCAGCTAATGAATTGTTGTTCTTGCTGCAGTGGCAGCGCAGGTGCCTTTGACAAGCAAAGGAGCAGTAAACGGCCCCACAGCCAGTTGTGCATTAAAGGCCTGACACTTCTCCGTAATGGTTATAAAACGCTGGGTTATTCTGGCCAGCGCTGGGTGATTGGAGAGCTGCCCGGAGCAGGACAATGAGTGCTGCTGCAGCACGGTAATTGGTGGATTCTCTGTAACTGGAAGTCTTTAAATCCCGATTTGAGGGCGTCAGTAACTCAGCCAGAGGCGAGGGGTGTATTCCAGCAGTGGGTGGGCGAGGCTCTGTGGCCTGCGATGTGCAGGAGGTCAGAGATAATTCAGAGATGCTGGGGGGTGGGCAGGAGGGCTGGGGCACATGCAGGACTCTTCTGCCTTGTCCGCTTCGGCAAGTTGTGTGTGTTGAGCAGGAGCAGTGACCTGGGGGAGCTCTGAGTCCCCGGAGCTCTGGCTGGAGCCTCTGGCCAGGGGCCACTGCACTCCTTCCCCCAGCCTGGCCCACCGCTGCGGGTGTCGGAAATCCCCACAGAGAGCTGCAGCCAGGACAGCTGCTCCACTCTGTATCCCCTGCATCCTCCATCCCCTTCACTGTGAGCCCCCGTCCATCTACCCCTTCCCCCCAGTGCCCCTCAACACACAGAACTGCCCACCTGGCTGCCACAGCTCTACCCCTCCTCTCTGACCCTCTCCCCCTGCCCGCCCCTCTCCCCAATCTCAGCCTGTCCCTGTGACTCTCCGCAGATTGGGGGGATGGAGTCACAGTGCCGGGACCCCCACCCCTAGCACCTTCCTCTCTGCCGCCCACAAGTGATCCTTTGCGGGGGCGACACGGGGTCTAGATGTACATCCAGGTGCCCTGTTCTGCTGGGCCCTACCGGTGTATGAGTCTGACTGCAGCCTGCTTATTTGAGGCTAATGTTCCAAACCAAGACGAAGGGTGCCCGTAGGCTGGGGCAGGCAAGGGTGGGGCACAGGGGGCATGGAGCTGCCGGGTCCTGCCACTCTTGGTGCTGAGGCCAAGCAGGAGAGGAAAACAGGCTGATCTGGGGCAAACACCCCAAAGCGCCGTGTGCCCCTCAAGTCAGTGCTAGGGTCATGTGCCGGGAGGAGTGGGAAGGGACGCAGCGCAGTGCGGAGGGCTGTGGTGTAGCTTCCTGAGGGCAGTGATCAGTGCAGCGAGTTGGGTGGTTCTGTGGGCACAGCCTGGCTGGTAGCTCTCCGGACCCCCAGGGCCTTGCCCGGCTCAGCAGCTCTTGCGCTGGCACTGCAGCATTGGGTAGGGTTGCCAACTTTCTAATCGCACAAAACTGAACACCCTTGCCCCGCATCTTCTCTGTGGCCCTGTCCTCACTCACTCCATTCCCCCCCCCCGTCGCTCGCTCTCCCCCACCCTCACTCACTCTCATTGGGCTGGGGCAGCAGGTGGGGGTGTGGGCTCTGGGGTTGGGGCAGAAATTAGGGGTTCAGGGTGCAGGAGGCGGCTCCAGGCTGGGGCAGAGGGTTGGGACATGGAAGGGGCTGCGGTTTCCAGATGGGGGTGTGGGCTCTGTCGTGGGGCCGGGGATGAGGGGTTTGGGGTGCAGGAGGCGGCTCCAGGCTGGGGCAGAGGGTTGGGACGTGGAAGGGGCTGCGGTTTCCAGCTGGGGGTGTGGGCTCTGTGGTGGGGCCGGGGATGAGGGGTTTGGGGTGCAGGAGGGGGCTCCAGGCTGGGGCAGGGGGTTGGGGTGTGGGAAGGGGTGTGGGTTCCGACTGGGGGTGTGGGCTGTGGGGTGGGGCTGGGGATGAGAGATTTGGGGTGCAGGAGGGGGTTCTGACCTGGGGCAGGGGGGTTGGGTGCGGAAGGGGTTCCGACCTAGACCAGGGGGTTCGGACTCCAGCTGGGCGGTGCTTACCTCAGACGGCTCCCGATTGGCGGCGCAGTGGGGCTAAGGCAGGCTCCCTGCTTGCCCTGGCTCTCCGCATCTCTTGGAAGCAGCCAGCATGTCTGGCCCCTAGGCAGAGGCGTGGCCAGGCGGCTCTGCATGGTGTGTGCTGTCTGCGCCTGCAGGCGGCACTGCCCCTGCAGCTCCCATTGGCCACGGTTCCAGGCCAATGGGAGCCACGGAGCTGGCACTCAGGGCAGAGGCAGCACGCAAATCTTCCCTGATTGCACCTGCGCCTAGGACCCACAGGGACATGTCGCTTCCGGGAGGTGCACAGAGGCAGGGCAGGTAAGGAGCTTACCTTAACCCTGCTGCGCCACTGACCTGACTTTTAACAGCCTGGTCAACAGTGCTGACCAGAGCCGCCTGGGTCCCTTTTCGACCAGGCGTTCCGGTCGAAAACCGGACGGCTGGTGACCCTAGTTTTGGGCCTGGGGCTGCAGAGCACAGCCAGCGACTGACCAGGGCTGCATGGGGCCCCTGTGTGCTGAGCATTGTCGACCAAGTAGTTCTCGCTGTCCATTCCAAGCGCACTGGCTGGGCCAGACTGGACAAGCTGGCTGCTCCATTGAACATATATCTTGACTTTAGCAAAGCTTTTGATACGGTTTCCCACGGTATTCTTGCCAGCAAGTTAAAGAAGTCTGGGCTGGATGAATGGACTATAAGGTGGATAGAAAGCTGGCTAGATCGTCAGGCTCAACGGGTAGTGATCAACGGCTCCATGTCGAGTTGGCAGCCGGTATCAAGCAGAGTGTCCCAGGGGTCGGTCCTGGGGCCGGTTTTCTTCAACATCCTTATTAATGCTGGATGATGGGATGAATTGCACCCTCAGCAAGTTCGCAGATGACACTTAGCTGGGGGGAGAGATAGATACAGGGCCGTCCTTACCCATATGCAAAGTATGCAGCTGCTCCACCTCTTCCCCAGGGCCCCTGCCCCTGCTCTGCCCCAGCCCCACCCTTTCCCCAAAGCCCCCTCCCCTGCTCCACCCCCGGCCCACCTCTTCCCGCCCCTGCTCTGCCCCAGCCTCGTCCCCACTCCACCCCTTCCCCTGAGGACTGCAGCAGGGGTCGGGCCTGCCCTGTACTCATCGGGCAGCGGTAAGTGGAGTGACCCGGCCCCAGCATGCTCTGCACCGCTGGCTCCCAGCCGCGCTGCCACTGAGTGCTGGGGGGCGGTTCCCCTCTGCCCCCCAAGTCCCAAGGCTGGGAGCCAGGGGAGCAGAGCAGAGCAGGCTGGGGCCAGGTCACTCCACTTCCCGCCGCCCCGTGAGTGTGTGGTCAGGCCTGCCCTGTCATCACCGGGCAACAGGAAGTGGAGCAACCCGGCCCCAACCCGCTCCGCTCCACTGGCTCGTGCTGGGGGGTGGTTTCCCCCTTGTCCCCAAGCCTGTTCCTGCCCCCCCACGGAGGCCTGGGAAAGCCCCCCCCCCGGGGGGCTGTGTAGGGCACCAAAATGGCTAGGCACGGCCCTGGGTAGATACGCTAGAGGGTAGGGATAGGGGTCAGAATGACCTAGACAAATTAGAGGATTTGGCCAAAAGAAATCTGATGAGGTTCAACAAGGACAAGAGCAGAGTCCTGCACTTAGGACGGAAGAATCCCATGCACTGCTACAGACTAGGGACCGAATGGCTAAGCAGCAGTTCTGCAGAAAAGGACCTGGGGGTTACAGTGGACGAGAAGCTGGATATGAGTCGACAGTGTGCCCTTGTTGCCAAGAAGGCCAACGGCATATTGGGCTGTATTAGTAGGAGCATTGCCAACAGATCGAGGGAAGTGATTATTCCCCTCTATTCAGCATTGGTGAGGCCACACCTGGAGTACTGCGTCCAGTTTTGGTCCCCACACTATAGAAGGGATGTGGACAAATTGGGGAGAGTCCAGCGGAGGGCAACGAAAATGATTAGGGGGCTGGAGCACATGACTTACGAGGAGAGGCTGAGGGAACTGGGGTTATTTAGTCTGCAGAAGAGAAGAGTGAGGGGGATTTGATAGCTGCTTTCAACTACCTGAAGGGGGGTTCCAAAGAGGATGGAGCTCGGCTGTTCTCAGTGGTGGCAGAGGACAGAACAAGGAGCAATGGTCTCAAGTTGCAGTGGGGGAGGTCTAGGTTGGATATTAGGAAACACTATTTCACTAGGAGGGTGGTGAAGCACTGGAATGGGTTCCCTAGGGAGGTGATGGAATCTCCATCCATAGAGGTTTTTGAGGCCCAGCTTGACAAAGCCCTGGCTGGGATGATTTAGTTGGGGATTGGTCCTGCTTTGAGCAGGGGACTGGACTAGATGACCTCCTGAGGTCCCTTCCAACCCTAATATTCTATGATTCTATGATTCTAACAGCCCCCATCCCAGACTGCACCTGAGGCTTTGGGCAGGCAGAGTGTCCCCAGCTTGCTCTGGGCACTTGTGTGGAGGTGGTGCTTCCCTCCAGACCCAGTGGGGGAATCAGCCCTCACCCGCAACAGGACATTTCCTGCCCCTCCTGACTCCCGTGGAAGGCTCCGGGCCTGGGAACCCAGCCGTGGGGTTTGACTCCCCCTCTTGCGGCGTTCGCTCCCCGGCTGGCTCTGCCTTGTATGAGGAGACTGCCCCTGCTCGCCACAGGTCACACCCGCAGATTTGGGCATGCTGGCAAAGCGAGCCAGGCCGCGCCTCCTGCTGGGCTTGGGGTTGGACACACCGGCCACGGGGACATGGCTTCCCGCAGGGCTGTCCCCACACTGGGCTCTCTGTTCCCACGGGCACTGGCTGGTGACAGGACAGCGAGGCGGGTGCAGAGGAGGGTGGGGGAGGCGGTTCACACATGGCCATGGTTGTTTCTGGAGGGCACCTGCAGCTGTCTGCCCCTTCGCTGCCTGTGTGGCACCTTGCAGGGCCCTTGGCTCACGCGCTCACGGTTCCCTTTGCAGTTCTGCGCGATGACTTCCGGCAGGCCCCCAGCGACGTGGTGGTGGCGGCAGGCGAGCCGGCTGTGATGGAGTGCATCCCGCCCCGGGGGCACCCTGAGCCCACCATCTCCTGGAAGAAGAACAGCATCAGCATCAGCGATAAAGACGAGCGCATCACGGTGAGGCCTTGCCCGTCCCACGGGGCGAGGGGGCGAGCAGTGGGATCGGGGGTATGGTGGGCATCTGTCCCAAGGTGTAGAGGGCGTAGGGCATGGTGGGGGAATATGTCCTGGAGGGTGCTGGGGTAGTGTGCAGCGAGGGGGCTGTGGGAGCGTCTGTCCTGCGGGGTGGGGGAACTAATGGAGGTGTTTGTCCCATGGGGGCGGGGGTGGCATGCAGGGAGGGGGGCATATGTCCTGCAGGGTCGGGAGACTAATTGGGTAATGAGGGTATCTGTCCTACGGGGGTGGGGGTGGCATGCAGGGAGGGGGCCGTGGGAGCGTCTGTCCTGCAGGGTGGCATGGGGACAGCGTGTGACTCCCCGTACCATGGCACGGCCAGCTACTCTGAGCTCTTCCCCTTTGGTGCAGATCCGTGGGGGGAAGTTGATGATGTCCAACACCAGGAAGAGCGACGCTGGCATGTATGTCTGTGTGGCTACCAACATGGTGGGGGAACGGGACAGCGAGCCGGCCGAGCTGGTGGTGTTTGGTGCGTAGTGCCTGGGGCCTGTGTGGGGCAGGGCTGGCCGGGCTGGGCACACAGGGTGGGTGGCTGTGTGTCAAGGAGCTCGGCTCCATGGCTGTCCCCCCGCACAGCACCAAGCCTGGCTGATGAGCTAAGCGCTTTGAGACGTGCCCCATAGCCAAGGCACCAGAGCTGAGTGGCCGGGCAGCAGGCTGGGAATACCCAGACTACATCTCAGTAGCCTTTCCCCTTACGTGCAAGCCGGTCTGGCCCAGTGTGCCGCCCCAAATGGCCGCTTCCCTGCTGCAAGCTGGGACTGACGGCTGCGCTCCGCCCCAGAAGTGGCTGCATGGCGGCAGTGCTCTCTGTACGTGGTTAGGGCCACCCGGGGTGCCAGACGTTATTAATCAAACACCCTAAACTCACAAACAGGATCTATATGGGAACATTTGCAAGCTGCCCCCAGGAATCTCCAGCCCAGATCAGCACCACTGAGTCACTCCCTCTCCGTCATCAGTCACGCCAAGGAGCCTTCTATGTTTCCACTACTGGAGGGGACTGAATGGCCATTATCGACCACCCCCTTCTCCAGGCACTGATTGCCTCCTGCAGATCCCAGCCAGAACCCACCGGGCAGCTAGATCCAGGGACTTGGCATGGACTATTCGAGATCCCATCCCTGCCTGGCCCTTCCCTGGCCCTCTAGCTCAGCCCTGCCATTCTCTGCTACTCACCTAGTCCCAAACAGGCTCCTGGGCCCAGATCCTCAGAGGTACTTAGGTGCCTAACTCCCATTGATTTCAGGGGAGCCCAGGAGAGCAGCCCTGCCTGGGAACCCTGTGCCTCGGGAGGCAGAGGTGCCACGCTGGGAGCTGGGATATGGTTTATTGCTCTGGCCGAAGGGGTCATAAATGAGGCAAGGCGTTTTTCTGAGCAGCCCCGGCC